ATTATATATATATATATATATATATATATATATATATATATATATATATATATATATATATATATATATATATATATATATATATATATATATATATCATCTTGGTCATTAATCCCATACATCTTCCACTAACCATCAATGACACCATTTTACTCCACAATTTGAACATTTTGACTAATTTTTTAGATTAAAGATCTTCTGTTATGTTTGTCTGAGAATTTTATGATCCTAAAGATTTAATCTAAATTAATAATAGTAAATACATTTAGCCCAATAATTTAATAAATCTACTCCCACTTCCAATGTCTGTACTGCAATAAATAAGTGAAAGCTCTTTTATTCTCTATCTGCATGGATTCCATAGATCATGGTGGGCTGCAACTTCTTTGTTTCAGCAGCTTAGAGGGACAAGAAGTTTTAAGCCAAATATTTAAACTCGGATTAATAATTATACACCTATCGAATTTTTATAAATGAATTTATTTTTTCTCCGACTTTCGATATCAGAGTAAATTAGGGTTCTATCATGCTAGTTATGGATTACTTGGCTATCACATCCTTTTGATAATTTAATTAGTTTATGCATCCATAAAATCAGAAAAAGTTGAAAGGCTGATTAAGTGAAAAATCAAAACATAATTCTGCTCAGTACATCTCCCATGTATATATATCCATATAAGCATTAGGCTAAACAAAAGAAACAAAATGAAAAGAATTCAGGGCTTTCCTCCACTTCTTTTTCTGTAGAAGTGGTCTTTCAGTATACAAAGAGGCAAATTTTTAGAAGAGTATACAGTCTCCTATCACTTCATCTCTGAGGACAAACTCATCTTACTCCATGCTGATGGTGATTCCTGTTTATACTTCATACTTCTGTGTTGTTTGCACCATTACCACACATATTGTGATAATGTACAGCCACAGGAACTTCCTTTGAGTGGGAGAAGCTGATACAAGAGAAATAGCTATATTAGTTCATGACCTCATTGTTTCATTTTATTTATTTTTGTAAAGAAGTTACTTTTTCTTCCCCTTTACCTAAATAATTGAAAGCCATTTTCTATAGTAAACATTTGAAGTTGCAAAGTTCATGGCCTCTCAAGTATTTGTTTTGCTATATACAAATCTAGGCACAAGTGATATCAGGTGTTTAGGTGACTAACTCCACCAAATGCAACTCACTGTTAAACTAATAAAACAATAGAATGAAAGGATTTGACTTTAGCATAAAGACAAAGCAAAGAGGAAATAATAATTTCAGTAACTGTAAGAAGGTTGGTCAAGGCAGACAATGAATCATTAATTGTATTACATTTAACATCAAAGCCAATAAATTTTGTTGTTCCTGACTCTTTCGGGCCAAGTTGCAATTAGATAAGCTAGAGATTATTTGGAGATTATTTGGAGAACCACCCTTACCTCTATTGCTTGTCTCAGGAAAATTAGGTGAGGAAGATGGAGAGGAGCCATTTGATAATGTAAACCCCAGAGTTGGGCAATCTGCCATAACAACACCTGCAAAAATGACCTCATGTTTAAGCTTACAAGTCTAAACACTCCTATATGATTACAACACAAGCATATCTGCTATTTGTTGACACTGAATTCATGGTTCCCTAGCCTTACAATCTCTGAAACATGGGAGGTTGGTGAGGTTTAGAAGGTTGCTGAAACCTTCTCTGCACTCGCAGTGATGTCGGAAACTAGATGTTCTTATGCATGTCCCACTTCCACAGAAAGACCACCTGCATGCTATCGACAAGACAAAAATAACAAATTACTACACTTCATTATGGTTAGTGAAGATCAAACCAAGAAGGAAGGTTTATGATAATTTACGATCAAGAAGGGACAGATCAGTAGCTTCAGGAAATGTAGTAGGTGCGTGAACCATGGAATCATTGTAACAAGCATAATCAAATGCACCTGTAAAAAAAGTATGCTTTGAGACTGTTTACATGACATGAGAATTGAGATGCCAAACAAATTAACCACTAGTCATGCACCAGCTATTTGCTATTTGATTCTGCTCATCTCTTCTTAGTTCATCATGCTCTTGCAGACATCTTTTGTTTTACAAACTAGTAATCGTTTTGCTTCTAAGAACCAACACTAACATATCCACTTAGTGCATCATCAGCACTACCACCATTTTCTTGGCTTCCATCAATGCAGAATTCTTTTGAGGGAACAATAGGGCCAAATTAAGATCACAGAGTGAAGACAATAGATAAGTTAAGAAGGTGGTATTATCTTCCACATTAGTTGCTGTCACTGATCAAGCTGTCAATCTATTAAGAAAAGAGTGCCAAGTCTGCACTACTTGCCGACTTCTGATAGATAAACCACAACAAGAACACAGCTGAGACTTACATTTTGGGATGACACAGGGAAGGAAGGGCACATGGTCAAGGAACTGAAGCTGAGTCCATCCATGATCACACTTGCACTCAAACCCAAATGTCGAGTTTGCCGATGTCTGGCAGAGTCCCCTTCCACAGTCCACATCATCACACATTCCACCTAAGAACAACAAGCCTATCAGTAAGCTTCGGAGATGAAAGTAATCATGACAATGCAAACACACCACATAGTAGTCAGTTATCATCAAAGGTAGTGTCAAACTAGAACCTATTCAATCAAAGGCTATACAAGGTTACTTCAAAACAGGTCATATGGAGATGTTAAATGAGATCATGAAAGAAAATTTAGTATACCGAGGACAGGAGATGGCACATCTGCTGCAGCTGCTTCTGGGGTCAGTGAGGGAGAGAGAACTTGGATCATAGCCAACAAAATTGCAGCCACAGCCAAACACATATCTTTCTTTCTCTCTCTACACTTGTGTTGTTTCTGTCCTTCAAGTTTTTTATCAGGAAGAAGTGAGGGCTTGGTTGGAGGGTGGTGGATGATGGGAGGTTATAATGGACAGTGGGTAGTTGGACCAAGATTTATGGAAGAGTCAGATTGTGAGAGAAAGTCATATGGAATGAGAAACTTCTTAGAAGCCATCTCTGGTAATGCTCATGGAAGCAGTATTTTGCCATCTAAACTGAATGTCCTCCATATTTTCTTTACCTTAATGCATCATCTTGGACTAATTAATTAAGATAATTAATTGGGCCTCTCTGACATGCATCCTCAGAAACCAAAAACAAGAATATGTTATGTGAATTGAAATGGATTAATTATGATGATGAGCTTTAAATTGACATGCTTTCAAGTTTCAAATTTTTTCTTTGGACCTAACTTACAGTTAACACTAACAGTCTAAATTTTCATCTTTGTTCTGTATATGCTCAATGGCAGTTTATGCGAGAAATAAGCTACTTTTCATGTATCTTTTTAGGCACAAGCACAGAAATAAATACAAATGTCTATCCGTCAAGGCAATTGACCAAAGCTTGAAATTGTGATACATCAAAGAAGTCATTTCATGGGCATCAGAAACTTCAGATATTATTTCCATGTTAAGTGCAGATTGGATAGATGACACCAAAAAGGTAACAGCATAATTTGGTTCAGTGATCAGAATAAGAGATTAACTTGCACATTTAGTACTTACAAGATTCAAAACAAAGAAGATATACATAGACAATAAAGAAGGAATGAGGCCACAGTAACATAAAAAATCAACATAGCCTAGTAATAATATATGTCATACAGAGAAACCACATCTAATTTCAAGATACGTTGGCAGACTTTCAACCTACTGCAGGTTACATAGCTTTAAGATAACAAAGACAACCATCTATAATAAAGTGACAAGCTCACTTTGATTTCTATGAAGTAAGCAGCAACAAAAAGACTTGAATACATCAACACACTGCAGTTTCTTTAAAGCTCTTTGTTAACCATATAGCTGTCTCTCTTGGGGAGACCTTCTCAGGGCCAAATGGCTTCAGCAAAATCCCCAATTCTTCAAACCTCTCCTGTTGTAGCAACTGTGCACTAAATTCAAGCAATCCCTCCAAAGCCTCTGCCCGCTGTTCATATGATGAGGTGTCAAACCTCCGCTGCATTGATTCAGAAGAGCCTCGACTTGACACATCTGCGGCTACTGGACTTCGGTCTGGAGAATAGTTCCTATTGTTTCCTTTGGATCGAAAGATTTGAACAGTGCATTTATCTTTGGTGATTGAACAGTCTCCGCAATGAGGAATGAGAGAAGAGTCATGATCCGAAGGGAGCTTTTGGATGGTGAACAGTGGCTCTTTAAATGAGGCTAATGGAAATTCTGCTATTCTGTCTATTCGAGGGGAATTCACTGAAATATCGGGGGATTCCATCGGGTTGATAATACCAACTTTGTGTCTATAAGGGGTCTCAGATTTCGATGAAGGAAGAGATGTTCTTCCAGTGTGTTGTCCACTTTTATCTGTTGTAATTCGTGATGGAAGCTGCAATGGGAGTACCAAAAATAGTTCTCAGCAAAAAAAATGTATATATTTCTGATACAAATGACCAATTTTATGCATTCAAGTTACTGAGAAAGTCCTCTTTATCATCTCATTCAAAAATTTCAACTAGCAAATCATTAAACAGACAGATCATGTTAAATCAAACAAACACTCATACAAGTAGCAACCAGAAAAACAAAATCATGCCATATGCTCCCAATGAAATTGGAACCAATGATTCATTATTACCAAAAACATGCACTGAAGATCTTAAGGACCAAATGAAAGTCAAACAATAGTGAATATCAAGTATAAGGATGCACCGTTGATGCCTGAGTGTTAGTGTCCGAAGTATGAAAACAAGCTGTCCGCTTGTGAGAGTAAGGCTGCATATAGACCCTTTCCAGACTGTGATTCGGAGGAGTCCATGCAGTAGGCCATGCTTTTTCTTGTGTGTGTTTATCATGGCACATAACAGTGAAAATATAACTGCTTTTATCTACATATTGAACCCATATTTTGTAGGTTTTGGAAAACAGTTTAACAATCATGGATGGGCAAATGTGAAACTAACTTTTAGAAGCTAATCCAGATATATGCATGTGAACTAAGAAAAAGGGAATATTCAGATATATTCATCACACTAACATATGGATATTCTAGCCTTACCAGTTCATGATCTCCTCCAGTATGCGATGATTTTGATGGCTCCACTACATTCCTTGGAGTTGTGAAGGATTTAGGAGTATATCTGGGTGTCTTCACAGTAGGCGAGTGTTTCTCACTATTCGCTTTATACACATCTATATCCCCAACCTGACCTTTTAGTCTTTGGTTTGGATAATTTGGATAAACTTTAATTGTCTGAGTGGAATCAAAAGAGTCATGCTCAGCTACAGGCTTATTCAGTTTCAATATCTTCTCACTGCTGAAAGACCTCCTTTTCTCCATGTCATTGCACATGGAATCATTGCTGGCATCAAGGAATGTAATTTTCTTCAAATGATTGTTTTTAGTTTGCATAATAGGAAGCCTATTCCATGTAGGAGACTTTAAATTGACTTCAAGCACATAAGGCTGAAGGTGTGGGTGCTTGAGCAGTTCAGCAGCCTGTTGGAATATGAGAAATTTACAGACTTAGCAGAAAGAGGGAGTAAATCGGCACAAAAGTAAGCAGTTCTAAGCATATGTATCAAAGATTGGCCAAAATACATACACTCGGTCTATGTTCTGGGTTTTTTCTTAACATACTTTTTATGAGTCCTCGACTGCATGTGATGATAACAAAAATGTATCAGAAAATCAGTCTTCTGAAACTCATTTGTTTAAATGTTAGGAGTGATGGAAAGTTGGATAATGTAATAAACAAAGCTTACAATGCACCAGAATACGTGCTTGGCAGAGGAGCCACTATGGACTTGTTAATTTTGTTTATCAAACCTTGCATGTCCTGCACAAATAACAAATACAAGTTAATCATTTTAGACAAATTAAGAAAAGGACCTAATATCAGTTTCATTGTTGGAATAAAATTAAAGAAACATGTCACTTTCATAGCAAATTTTGAAGTCAATATGCATAGTTGAGGATGTATTGTGATCCTATCACAAAGCTTAATTAGAGATAGCATAGTACAGTTCAATAATGCACATTAATTGAACAGAACCAAAGAAAGAAATCTCAAACAAATACCTGATTTTGCTAAGCAAACATTTATGACAGATTAGCCAGCTATTCTGCTCATTATTCATGTATCATTAAGAGTACAAGAGTTGACTATAGTACTAGACTTGGAGTTAATAATATTTCAAAAAATCTGGAGTGTAAGTTGGAACACAATTTTTCACCAATGGATACCTAAAATATATACCATGTTATTATCAGTAACCATGTAAGAAATTTCTATAAAATGGAAATAGATTAATAAAGAATATCTTGAGTCACCATATGTATCATACAGAAGAATTGTGGACCTAACTGCACATAAGCACACATGACACCCATGTAACCTAAAACCTCTGCAATACCAAGTGATGTGAGTTTGCTATACATAAGCAATGTGCATATGTCAAAATAGGCATAACCTAGTTAGCATCAGAAATGCAACATTTGCAGGCCATTTTTTTGATATAATAATAATGAGAACCAGATATTTCCAAATAAAACAAAATTTGGTACAACTTACAAAGGCTTTGAATGCAGGCTTGAGGGCTGTCATCTCATATATACAGCAGCCTGGATAGTGAAGAAACCATTAAAGAAATCTTAGATTCTCGAAAGCTGTTAAAAAATTAAAAAATGTCTAGCATAATGAAAAATGACTGTACCAAGGGACCAGATATCAGATTTAGAACCATAGGGTATATCAGCGAGAAGTTCAGGGCACATGTAACTAGGAGTGCCAACAACCTGCATCAAGGACCGATAGTTGTCAGTGAAAATGAAACTAATTGTATCATGAAGATGAAATCAGCTGGATTTGGAACTCACAGAACAAGCTAGATCATCAGAGGTCAAAATTTTAGCAAGACCAAAGTCACCTGCATCATATAAAAATTTCAGATTATTATGTCAGCTAAACAAGCCTTAAGTTTGTTTCATTTTAAATTCAATTCAATGTAACAAAATGGTTTCTTTGTGATGAATATAAAAGAACTTACCAAGACGTATGTTTTTCTCTTTCGTAAGAAATATATTTGAACACTAAGAAAGAAAAGTTGAGCACAGTCAGTAGTCAGAAATTTTGAAAATTTTATCCAAAGGGAATATGTGTTAGCAAAATAATTTCACTCACCTTAACATCACGGTGCAGAATATGGTTCATGTGCAAGTAATCAAGTGCCATAAGTAGTTGAACAAGCCACTTACAAAGTTTCTGTTTAAAGATAAATAAAAGAACTTTAGAATATAGATATATATTTTAGAACACACGAGAAGAAATCAACCATTTGTCATTTATGATAAGAAAAGCAAATTCCATTTCTGAAGCAAACAACCTCCTCCGGGAAAAGAGCTCCATTGACCTTCTTTATGACTTCAGCCCTGTAATAGAAAATAAATTAATACAAACGCTGAGAAGAACTATTGTTAGGAAAGGAAAAAAAAAAATCTGGTTCCATGTGAAATGCACAACATACATATCTCCGCCCTCACAATAACCTATCACAATACACACATAGCAACCCTGCAAAAATCACATGAATAACATCATAAGTTGATATATTGCATGGAAATAAATTGATCTCATGCATATGAAATAAAAGTGAAAAGCCAAGCCAAAATAAGCTAGAAAACAGAAACAGAAATAACAAATATTTTGAAGATTCAAGTGCATATTAATTATATAATTATATAATTAATATAATTAGGAATTGGAATGCTTTTGCTTTCAAGTCTACAAATCCAAGTTAAAAAGTTTTACTGCTTTGGTTGCCAGCAAAAATAGGCTGATTTGCTCAATAAAGTGCAAATCTAGTAGGAATGGCATAATTGTAGCACGAATACATATGCTTTTAGATTAGTCAGCATTTATTTGGGATGCAATTGCAGTATTAAAACCATGTGTACTGTACATGGATTATGAATCTATACTACAACAGCTGTTTCACAGTTCAGTCGGAAAAGGTCAAGGCAAATTATAGTCTTACCATCATCGATGTCCGATACTAATGATCATCAACCGAGTATGAAAAGGACATCTAGAAAAAACATGTGTACTATTCTCATAATTGTACATATACATCAGATATAGTTGTAGATATAGCAACAAACACTAGTTCATAACAACTGATCTCACACAAGGGCTTTTCCTAACCTTTTCAACCCAGGAATCTTTGTATTCCACAATGAACGGGTTGTTCACCTTAGAAATAAGCTCCATCTGAGACAAGTATGAATTGTAAACACACCATTAGCTTGGCTTGAAGCAGTAGTAACAAATGGTGGGCAATACAAAGGCATCACCGAAATTGGCAGATAATTAGCAGATGTAATATTTCAGTAAGCAAGGACAAACACTTACTTCCTGGTGGGCAGACCTGCGGCACCTGTCAGTCTGCCGAGCAAGACGAATCTTCTTCAAGACATACCTGCAACAAACATTGGAGAAGATGAAGCTTAGTATTACTTCTAATAGAGAGAAACACAGAAAAAGGAAAGCAAAAAACATAAAAACTGTGCTTTGCTTACTTCTTCTTCTCAATTTTATGCCTCACAAGAAGAGCTGAACCGAATGATCCTTTACCGATCTGCTCTAGCACCTCGTACTGATCCATGCTTTTATATTGATGCTTCCTCAACTGACCTTCGGCTTATGATTCTGAGTTACTAGAGTACACCGACAACCGAAAAAAACAAAAAGGATGAGCGCTGCTCTCAAGAAAAGGAATTGAACATTCATAGCTCTATTACAAAAATGTTCTTCGATGACATAAATAAGTTCCTTTTTTCAGGCCAAAATTTGATGCAAAGTCAGTGTAATAAAAGCAGAAACCAAAAGAAGGAAAACTTTGGATGGGTGAAAGGAAGAGGCAAAATTCTCTGATATGAACAAAGTGCAGCCCGAGATTAAGGTCCAACCTCCAGGTGCAGCTAAACAAGTTAAGCTTTCTAGGCATAAAAACTGGAAATTGCAGAAAAATTAGAAAATCAAGACACAATTTTGTAGCACAGAAGAAAAGGAATGGCAGAAAAGAGAGAACATTCTCCGATACGAATGGAATGCAGCCGGAGATTAAGGTCCATAATCCAAGTACATCAAAAGAAATGGAATATTTTTAGACAAGAATTTGATAAGTTTCCTCTTGCAGGGCAAAGAACGGGCGAAAAATAAGAAGCAAAATCCACCGACACGAACGCAATGCAGCCACAGACGAAGGTCCGAGTTCCAAGTGCCTCAAAAAGACAAGATCTTCAGACAAGAAAACGTGAAATTTTCGGAAAAAATCGAGAATCCAGGTGAATTTTGGCAGCGCAAAAGGCGGACGAGGTTTGGAGATGATTACCCGTGCAATTGGTGGCTCCAAGGTACGAGTAGGACACGGACATGGATGGACGCATCCACGAGGCTGCATTTATAGCCTTCTTCTCCGTTCGTGGGGAGATGCTCGAGTACGAAAGGGACGGATTTGGAGAGAAGAAAAATAAGCTAAACTTCTCGTCAGCTTCCTCCGTCGCTGTCGCAGGGGAGGGGAAGGGAGGGAGGCGGCAAAGAGGTTAAAACAAGATAAAGAGCGCATTTGTATTCTTTTGGGTATTCGATGAAAAATATCAATTAATATCTTTTTTAAATGGTAAAAATTCTCTCTCTCTCTCTCTCTCTCTCTCTCTCTCTCTCTCTCTTTGGCCATTTTTCTAAAATTCTCTTTTCGAGATTTTTTTGAAAATATCCTCATTTTCAAAATTGAAAATAATACTCACAATAATCTTTCTTTTTTATTTTCACTCTCTTATAGACTGATCCATGTGGTGAACTGATCTATAACGTAATGTAAAAATATTATAAACACATCAAAAAATATATTATAATATTGTATTTTTAATAATATCAAAAATATTATAAACATGATATTTTTATATAATATTTTGAATTTTTTTACATATATATTCTTGCAAATTTGTAAATGACATTTTTTCATTTAAATTTTGATCTAACCTATTTGCTTATGTCATTGAAATATGATTGATATTAGTTTGTGTGCTAATTATATACATATAATAACCAAAATATCTCTTTAAAATGCCTAAAACAGTTTTAGCATCTTTGTTAATTAAGACTAGAATTTTGACTAATAATCAACTTGTTATTATAGAGGTTAACTACAATGACATATTTTTATAATTAATACTCGATTTACTTGACCTCACATCATCACGGATTAAGACAAAGCGTTTATCATATTAGAATGGTCTAATATGGCATCTTGAAATATTCAATATGAATAATTTTAGTTCTAATTATCAGATCACAAAGAAACAACATTACCCAAATCTTTACAATTTGATATGAGGAAATCTCTATAATGTAAACAGTCATAAAGCATATCATAGATCCACAATTTATTTCACGTCCTATTAAAAGATCAATGTCATTTAGGTAGTTGGATGTGTATTTATTGGATGCATCTCATAATTTTGGAATTTGAACTTGCACCAACCAGATTTGGGGCCCCTCTTGGTAGGATTCTTGAATTTGAATTTGTAGCGAACTAGATTTAGACCCAATCCAAGTAATTGATGCGCAATTACTATGCAATTCGCCAATGGAATAAACGGATCATTTTGCTTGTATTAAAAGAATTGGCAATTAGGTGATTTTCTTCATACATATATTAAATATATAAATGATTTTTTTCACAACATTTAATGGTCGAATATATATATATATATATATATAAATATATTGGAACAAAATTCGACTCTCGAGGATAAATATATGACGGTGTTGAACTATCATAAGATTATTAGAAATCTTGATGAATTGATGATGGGGACAAGGAAAAGATTTTGACTGATATGAGGACCACATTCATGTAATTAATGGACCGACACCACAAAATTACCGGCAACACCAATTTAGATCAGGAAAATGGCGTCAAATCATTAGCATCAACTGTCTTATCCGTGTCGTGATCAACATGTTATTCCGTATCGAACGATGTCTTTCGATGATTGATTCGTTGATCTGAACGGTTGTGCCAATTATTAGTATTTACTCGTCTGATCGAGGAATAATATGAACAAAAATAAGTTGATCTGTCAATCGTTAATGTATGGAAAAATAATGTTTAGGTGGACCCCCACACTTATGGGCCCCTCTCATTAGGTAGGTTGTGAGAGACGAACTAACTTGCTAATTATTATTATTGATAATAATAATATAGTCATTGTGATTTGTGTCAAGCACGGATCTTGACGCAATGGTAAGATTGCTCCGTGAGATCTTGGTAAGTAAATTATTGCCGGTGGGGAACACGCAGGATCATAGTTTCATCAGACGCTTTTATCTGCATTGCATTCATTCCTCGTGTTCTTCTAGAAATCAGAGTTTGAGTTGCTGCCGACATCTTTGCGTTACAAAAAAGTAGGAAAAGAAGAAAAAAAGTAAATGTACGATTTCCGATGTCCAACCAGATCTTGAAGGTACAGACACTGCTGCATGGTTCTTGTGTTCTTAGGTGCTGTGCTGCCCTTTGAATCGCCTGTTTGGGTTGCAGCAAAAAAGCAACCTTCCCATCTGCCATTCACTATCTTTCAGGATATGCTCCATTAAATCTCAACCTCCGCTGGAGTCGGTGCCATAGATTCATTCATTGCACAGAGCTGCATATTTCTCATCTAGTCAAAGATCCATCCAACCCTATTCCTTTATATAATATTATCGCTGGATGTATTACTATTAACTTGCATTATTACATTAGATATATCGAGGGATATCGCTGAAACTTTGAACCATAATATTATCATTAACAGATACAACTAAATATAGTTCAACACAGTCGGTCATTTTCAAGGTCATTGTCTGTGCATCACTGGTGGTTTGGGATAGAACACCCTCGATGATGTTTCCCTGAAGCAACTCGGAAAGAGTGTGGCGTCCCCCACAATCATACGTAACTGTTCATGGAGTGATGTTGTGTTGCTCATCTTAGTGGTGACTGTTTAGTATTTTTCTAGTTTCTTCTTCCGTGCTCATTATCTACACAAGAAAGTGAGTGATTGCATGGGATCATTCACATGCAATCTGTGTGTTTTCTGAGTGATGATGAAGCTTGGAAGGATCTGAAGCTACGAACGCAATGATCGAAAGATGCTACCTTGGATCAGTGTCATTGTAACAAAATAGAAAGCAGGGAACGTTAAAACGAGGACCGTCTTGTTCATCGCATGTCACTACAAAGTTGGTGTGCAGTCAGGATCAAGGTTGCAGTTGTTGTCCATCTTCTCACAGCCGTTCGATGTGGATCAGACGGATAAAACAAGCCATGATACCAGTCCAAGGCTGGTAAACGGAGTTTCCAAGCTGGGGCTTCCCGTACTAGCTCTCCTTGCTGCAGCTGCAGCAGCAGGAGTGTCCTTCTCAGTGTCATCGAGTCCGGATCAGCTGGTTAGTGGTCGATTCTTGTTGTCTCTCTGAAAGTGGGATCTGAGATTGGATTCACCATATCTAGTTTGCTATTGGAGTGTCATATCCAATCTATTGGATCAGATATGTCAAAACCGAATCACTAGGCGTAGTTCTTGTAGAAGTAATTCTAGTTTCATGATTGATGAGTAAATATTGAGCTTCACTATTTTAGGTGGGTCTATACTTTTTAGTATATGCAAAGGGATCCTATCCGATGCTAAGTTAGATTTATTCGAACCTAAAGAGAGAAATGAAATTTTCTATTGAGAACCCAATGATCAAGTTATTAGGAAAAATTTTAAATCCGAACTATTATTGATGATAAGAGAGTAGCAATATGGAGACAGTCCATCAGTTTATTTTTATTTATTTTAATAAATATAATATAATATATATGTAATCTTTCAAAAAAATAAAAATATGTAATCATATAAATGAATTAAAATAATCTTTAAAAACAAATAAATAAAACATTATAATTAAATAAAATCATATAAGAGAATGAGTGAAGAACTAAGAATTAGAGTTTCTATTGTATAATACCAAATAGGATATGAAAAAGAACTACCAAACATCAGTCTCACTGACATAGTTTAGAAACTATCCAATAAAATCTCACGCTTGCAAAACTTGTAATGGATTTATAGTTTTGTTCTTTCCCACTGTAAAGGAGAGATGCATAACCAAGACACTTGTTCTTGGGAAAGTGGAGGTGGGGTAGTAAGGAGTGTGAGAGACAACCACAAAACTATATCATGATCATGATTTGCTGCTGCTGCTTGTTGTCTCAAATCCATTCCTCCACCTGACAAGCCTTTCACTTCAGAAGATAATTAACCTTTGACAAGCTGAGACGGGGAAATGGAACAGGAAAAAGAGGACTCCAACTTTACAAACCTAACAGTGATTTCCAACTCATTCTTTGCATTAGCTTCGTTGTCTCCAAACTTAGACCAGTTAGCTGAGCTTAAACCTTTGAGCTACTGCTTTAACCTGAGAGTTTTCTCTTGACTGTTGCTATGATTCTCATATTTGACATGTAGCAGGTCAGATTAAATATATTATCTTACTGATGACCTATATAAACCAGGCAATCATTTGATTAATCAACTAATTAAAGAAAATAACATAATCCTTAATAAACTAGCAAAGAGTTTCAAGATGCTTCCATGACTATAATTGATTTTGATTATCTAAATTAGAAATTGACTCGAATCCAATCTAATCCTTCTTCGAGCTTATCTCACAGTGAAACTCATAGATGTTCGAGACCTACAAAACTAAGTCAAGAGCTTTTTGATCTGAGTCAAACTTATATTATTTAATGTGTCTTGATCGTACCTTTTGTAGTGGACTTTTAAGGAAGGATATTACATAATCTTATCAATAATAGAGGCATGAAAATAGATCATAATCATCCTTGCTAATATAAATCATTATATTCATTTGTTATATTAGTTGAAACTATCAGATATCAAATCGTTATGCTTGTTTATCATATTATTCATGTGGTATTAGATCGATCACATATCGATCACTCACGGAGGGGAAGAGTGTTGATGTGTCTACGTCACTTTTACTATAAGAAATATAGATCGTCAAATATATCATACTGCAATATGCACCAATCAACTATATTCTAAAATCTGTCAATCTAATTTGATCAACCTTAGTGCGAACTGAAATTATCATCAAACATTGAAATTATGAGTTTAATGTGAGTGCTTCAATTTTGTTTTCTGTATATGATTCTCCGGACCTTTTTTCTGGACATCCTTCGTGGCATTATTTTCTGATGACATGGCAGACGAAGGTTGGCTTGTGCATTGGGACCCATCGTGACGCGAGCCCAAGTGTGTGCCCACTAAGTTGGTCAACGCTGACACATCGCTTCGTCAGACTCGTGTCACAGTTCTTGAGCTGATCTCTTCCGAGTCCAACCGAGTCTATCCACACTGGCTCTTGCCCCGTGACGTGTCTTGTTTCTGTCACTTATCCTCGCTGTTACCTGTCCTGAGGGATCAGCTCATCCTCCTTTTTCGTAGGATGGCCAACTCTCCTTCCTTGATGAG